AAGGGGAGCCGTGGCACTGGTCCGTCGCAGGTCGGCATTTGAGAGAGAGCCAACACTCTGCAGAGGCGCTGGGTCGTGCTCCCTAGCGGGCTGCAGACTTTCGTCCTCTTTCCTCTTCTAACCACCACCACTCCGCGACAGCTTTTTTCTTTTCCCCTCTCTGCCAGCGCTGTTTAAAGGAGAAAGGTCTCTACGTGGCAGGGGCAGAAAAGGGAGAAGCATGGCACAGGCACGTCCCAGATGGGCATTTGCATACTTGCAAAAACTTTTCCAATTTTCCAGTAAAATGTACGAATTTCGATTGTGGGTATGATTTTACAAATTTTGCCTGAAATATACGAAAAATATTTCATTTTCGATTTTAAAAAATTTGTAGAATAGCATGACCTCCGCGATTGGCTACGACCCATTGCCGTAGCTGGTCGTGGAGGCCACAAAAACGGCGTTGTTCTAAATTCTGCCATCAGGTGAGAACAATATGTATTGGTGTCATTATCATCACATACGTGCGGAGTCTCCCGCATTGTCAAGGAGACTCCCGGAATCGGACCGTTTCTTCCATGGGCACGCAGTCATGAAAATCTTTCTGAAGTCAAAATATATGTGCGAGATCTGGCCGCGTTGACAAAAATGCAGGCTAGTCCGTTTCAGGCTTTTTGCGAGCCCACGGCATTATAAACGAATTTGAGAGGCGTTCATCTAAACTTACAGTAAAGTCTCAGTGATGTGAAACCGCGACAGATACGAATTCGTAAAATTCCCTAGCTAAATTCATGTGTCCATTGGGACAAAATTCGAATGATCCGAACACTCTTCCTAATTGTGGCTTGTGATACGAACTTTAGTATCCAAACCGCCGAACGAAGGCCGATTGAGAGCAGCGTGCCTGAAGCTTCGGAAGTGCGCTTGCGACCAGCACACGCACTGCCTTCTACAGTGTGGTTGTCGTTGCCACAACCGCTCTGGACGAAACCGCGGTCGCAGACGAAACCGACACGATCATGGCGACATTACTGACAGAACTCCTAAAGTGTACATACGGCCAAGTTCGACTAGTCAAAGCAATGCTACTTTCCGTAAATTCTGTGGAGAAAACTGCGGCAGTTGCGACCATAGATAGCATGAAACGATTTAGTTTTGAAGCACATCGATAAAAAACAAAACTACCGTTTGCCGTAAACCGACGCGCACAAAACCGCGGTCGCGACGATGCGATAGCGATCTACGAGCTCCGAGGGCACATGGCTGACGCAGCGGTAGGATTAAATGCCGTGAAGACGTAAAAAGGGCTAGAAGTGTTTTGCCGTTCCTGTCCAAAGAATCTAGTAGTGAACAAAGCCAAAGCTTTGACCCGCATTTTCGTGGCAGCCACTTGCGCTGTCTCATATGTTGACATGTGACCCAGGAAGACATACGAGAGTTGTTTTGGCGGAAATATATTTTGTTAGTTGTTTTGATGGTACGAAATTTCGACTGGGAGCATTTGCGCTCCCCTTTTTAGACTCTCACCTTAGTGGGAAACCCTGCCTTTGTGTGTTCGGCCACTCCAAGCCATTATGAGACCGCAGCGCCGCTGTTTGCGCTTGCGTTTGGGACCCATCCGCCCCCCCCCCCATCGTTTTTCGCAGTGTTTTTTTTTTTTTTTCTTTTGGTGCCAAAAATGGGGGAAATAATTCAGCGCGTCGATTTGACTTATGGTGGCAAAACATGATTATGCTTGTCACTAAAAGCGAACCCATCACAGCTACAAATTAAAAAAGTCGGTAACCCCCACCCCCTCCCTGCTCAGGGGTTTTCTCTGTTGCCAGGTTGGTAGGTATGTAGAGAGAGAGCAAACATTCCGCCCCAGCCTTTCCTTTGCTTCTTTTCCTTCTTTGCGTGCAGCGTTGAGGTGCGGGAGGTGCCGGTGTGGGATTGAGCGTGGTGCTGAAAGCATTTTCAGAGGGCAGTATGTCCGAATTAACCGTCACAAGTGCTTGCGTGTTCCAATTACAGGTCGTTTTCACCCATTGGAATACACATAGCTTTAGGACCACAGTGTCAAATCTAATTAAGCAGAAGTTTGAATTAAGCATGTTCAAATTAATGATATTCGACATTAGTAAATTACGCTTTCATAATTCCGAAATCGCCATGCTTGCCACAAGAACTCTCTTGATAAGCAAGAAAACGCGTAAAAGGGAAATTCGGGTGGCTTCACATAGTTGCATTAATTCATCAATTGCTGTGATTTTATAAATTTTGATGTTTTTTTACTAGGTCATATATAGCTCTTAGGTACTAAAAACAAATTAAACTGGCTTCTGAGATAGCTCTAGAATTAATGTGCTAAGTCTCAGGAAATTACTTTGAACGAATGTCGCTAAAGTAAAAATATACACATTGATATTCGTGGTATCACGTGCAGAGATTTCAGCGCGAAATTCAGAAATAATTTATAAATGTATTAGGAATATTTTCTCCCCAATTAATAAACCTGAGATGGTGAAAAGAACGATGTGGAAGTTCTCGAAGCCTTTTTCAATCTAAAAAGATCCTTTGTTCTAGGTCAGTGTTCATGTAATATTAAAGTGTTTGAGGTACTTTCATCTCCGAAGTGCTCCATTATGAATATATGCATATGCCGAGTGCTCCAAATAGTAAGATTTCCTGCTCCAAAACTAAAATTTTACTGCTGTAAAATGCTTTTAATATCAAGATTACCTGTTCCAAAATGCTTCAAAACTAAAACTTTACTGCTCCAAAGTGCTCAAAAACTAAAATTTGAATGCTCCAAAAGTTGCTTCAAATCGGCAGTCCCCAGTGGGATCACTGTAGTCATACCGGCGTTTCCGCTGATCGTCCCACTCGCTGGCAACGGCGACTACCGTCTCGAGGCTCTCAAATTAAAAACTTCTAATTAACCAACATTACGAGCTTTAACTTTGAATTATCGAGCATTTTTTCCTATAGGTGTCGATGCAAAATTGATAGGACCACTGTTTGACTTCTAATTAACCAAAAATTCAATTTATGCAACTTAGAATTATCGGGAGTCAACTGTATGAACAAGCATACACCCATAAAATCGCCACAATGGAATGATGTGTCCGCCTTCTGATTTTTCGAAGTTTACAATTCTGGTAGCTTGTGGCTTTTATAACTAAAGCTTGCAATGTGTGTCTTTTGGCCCAGAAACTTACCGCACACTTAGCGGCGGCTGCGACCAATTAGAGCAGTTCGGCAATGCACTCTTGACGCTCATTTGGCCACTTTTCCTATTCTACCACCATCATGCTTTCCTGTGTTCCTCTTTCTCTTTTAACAAAGGTGTTTGATTCCAGGTCCACCAAAACTTCAGTGGCATACTTTTATCACGGAAATGATGTAAAAAAATGCACACAATCGGAAGACAGAGAAAAAAGTTCTGTTTAACGGGAGTCGTACCCACAGTCTCTCGGTCGGCTACAACAGCTGCCGGGCAGGCTTTCACTACGCCATAGTCACATACTTTGTAGGCTGTAAAAACACGCCTTTTATAACTATCATTGCCCTCTCGCAGTGCTCATGGTAAAATGTAATGCATCATGAGCGTGACATCTACGATTAGTTCCTTCAACACGTTGTTTCTGTGTTCATCCTATTCAGTGCGTTCAATAGAAAAGCAATTTTGTTGACGCCCTAACACACCGCCAGGGGGCGACCTTATCCCCAAAAAAAAATTGCAGCAAATCCACAGAGTGAATGATGATGAGTGGGGCGAAGCATCCGTCAGCCCATCCGTGCTTCTGTCCGTCCGTTCGTTCCTGCTTCCGTTCGTCGGCATGACCGTCCGTGCGTCCATCTGTCCGTGAGTCTGTCTGTCCGTCTTAGCGTCCATTTAGTGAACACTCCAAGTACCTCCATCTCGCATGCCCTGTGGCACATACTCACTTAGTGCGTCAGTTCATCCATCTTTTCGTCTGCTAGTCTGTCTGGTCTGTCTGCTACTCTGTGTGTCCATCTGTGTGCCCATCTAGCGAACACTCCAAGTACCCCCATCTCCCATCCCCTGTTGCACATACCGCTCTAGTGCGGGTATGTGCACATACCCGCACTAGAGCGGGTATGTGCCACTGGTGGCTACCGTACAACATCAACAGAAGATTGACAGACCCACACCCTAAGGAGCTTCGCCCCTAAAAGTCAGCATGGCTTATAGCATTCATTCATACGAAAGGTAGCTCTGCAATGCATAGAGTAACGCGCAAGCTTCACCTGGATATAACATCGCATTCCCCGCTTACGTTCGCACCGAGCAAAATTGTGGCTGACCAACAGGGAACACACATCGCGCATTGCATTTCCCTGTGATGGAGCAGTAGCGTACAATAGACAGATTTAGTTGGCTGGACCCTGCCCTGCCGGGCTTTTCCTATGGCAGGCTGCGTCCATAAAGCTTTTATGGTTGTTCCACAAAATCTGTGCTATAACTCTAACATGCCACAAGTAGGCGACCTTAGCCGAAGTTTGGCGTACAGTCAGTCACACAGTTCGGGCTGTCAGACTGCTTTATTTGGTTCCGCTCTCACTGTTTACTGCAGCCACCACTGGCATCCATCACCACAAGTGCATGTTTAATCATTAATCAATCATTGATCATGGACGTTAGTCATTGCAAATGGAAATGTAATAATAAGCGTAAATGTAGATGCATTTACGGTAAATACTGCTTTAGATGTCAAATACCAACAGACATTGTATAATATCAATGCTCAGTAATATCAAACTACTTCTGTGAAAAGACATTTTCGCTTTCATGTTATACGGACTCCTGTGACGGAGGGATCAACCATGCTTCTTGCTGTCTTCTTCACTGCCCTTGTAAAGTTTTGATGCAACGCAAGTGCCTTTTGTTTTGCAAAAGCGTAGGTAGATGAACCTTTTCTAAGCAGTGCTTTTGTGACACGATGGCAATAGCAAGCAACTAAAAAAAATGCATTCTTTGGGTAATGTGAACTCTCCTTTTTCCTCGTGCTTAGGTTGTGGAAGATGGCTATGAGTTCTTTGCCAAGCGACAACTGGTGACACTTTTCTCGGCGCCCAACTACTGTGGCGAGTTCGACAACGCTGGTGCCATGATGAGCGTTGACGAGACCCTGATGTGCTCATTCCAGGTGAGACTAAGCACTTATTGATCTCTCACCCAACTAAACGAGACCATGGTACGGTCCTGGTAGCCATGAACTGAAAGAAGCATGTGTAATCGTTTCGTTGCTGGACTTGTTGCACCTGCAAGAGCATTACGGGCAGGCTTGCCCAATACATTTTCAAACATTTTACACATTGACCCACTGTGTGACTAAGCGTGTGTGGTGCACACTTCTTGGATGCTGTGACCAAGCATATTACGCATTCAGTCCTCAGACCTGTGCACTCAAGCACTACATCTACAGGCAAAGTATCGTTAGCCGTAGTACTCAAAATCGCACTCTTAGTACCAATGGAAACTATTGATACTAAGTGTGTCTCAATGGGAAAGTGTGTCTCAATGGGAAACTATTGATACTAAGTGTGTCTCAATGGTACAGTCGAAAGTGCATCTCTAGTTCATTGTGTATGGACTCTGTCTTGAAAACCTACACTTAGCGACTGCCCAGTTCCCCCCTCCCCCACACACATCTTTTTTGGGAGTTATGGATGCCCTTCCGGTGACAAGTTAAGCCTTTTAAAATTGTGAAGCGACACCTGCTGTAGTGGAACTTTTTACCTGGTTCCTGCCCAGGAGTGAATTAAACCACACGGTATCATCAATGCGTCGCTTACTCAGCTGGCCCTGTCACTGCATGGCCTCTTGCTCTATTGCTGGCGAAGACATACTATGGCACTTTCGGAATTCTTCTGTGACATATAAAACATCGCGTGGTACCGGCTGTGCGAAGTGTTCCACAACTACTGTGATTCAGGCTGTTCTCGCTTCGCAAACGTCAGTTTTGTTTGTATTAGCTGCAAAACAATCTAGAGTTATTGTGCAAACAAAGAATTTTAGTGAGCCAACACACAGTCATTGCCACATTGTGCACTTTCGACAGAGCGCATGCGCATGGCGCCATGGACGCACAACATGAAGAGGCGCTCTGGTAAAAGGTGATTTGTCGTGAACGTCGTCTAGTAGTCTCAGGGTGTCTGCCAATCTGGAAAACCTGGGAAAGTCTGGGAATTTGGACCCTTCTGGAAAAGTCTTATAAAAGTCAGGGAATTGCTGAAAAATCTGGCCTAATCATGGAAACTGACTGTAGCCTGTGCGACCATTGCAAAAATAAGCATTACCCTAGATAAAAGCTCAAAAAGCTACTCCTTTGGCTGCAACTACAGTGAACAGCTGTAAGTTTGCTTCTTAGTAAAGACACAAAAAGGATGCACCTACCAAAGGAATACAAAATTTACTTACATTATGGCAGCCGCTAAGGGAGCCTCGTTCACAAAAATAGCCATAAGAAAGGCACAGCGTCCCACTACAGTTTTTTTTTACTTTGGGACCCTCACCTGTATATTTTGTTGATCTTGTAACTTTTTTTTTAAACAATAAACTGAAAATAAAATAATGAAATGAAGTACGCCTAAATAAGTGATGTAAGCATCGGAAGTACATTGTTGAAAGCGTTCCATCACTCCTGTTCACCATATAAACAGTTGTCTGCATGTGCTGGTATTTCAGGTGCAGGCGTGATGCAAGCTTTCCTTTAGCCAGAACACGCACACTTGATCAGTCAGTTTGGTGGCCTATAGAATCCACATGTTTAGCAAGGGCATATGAGATCACGTAGTTTCCTGACTCATATTCATGTGTTGTTTAACAGCGAGGAACATAGTCTTTTTGTGTTTGGTCGGTTCCGGGGGATTATGAATCAGGGGGGTTTTTAACTCTCTTCTTGAAATCAGTGGTCTCACCGATGTGTTGGTTGTGACAATCGGGGCAGCCTAAAGTAAATAATACAGTGGAAATTTTCGCGTGGCAACTTGTCCTTCACGTTGTCTAAAGCGTTCCCTAGCTTCCATATTTGTACATACACTATGTTGTCTGTTGCTTCTACATATCACGCAGCATATCTGACTTCCCAACCACAACATAATTCATGTCAGTAAATTTCTGCATGTTTGTCTTGACCATGATTTGGCTCAGCTTGAAGGCATTCTGATTCGGCTTGGACTGCCATTAGCAGGGGCTTGCCAGGATATGTCATGCCTTTTATTGTTATTATTATCTGGGGTGTGACAGCTGCACATATTGTGCATTTTTGATACATTTTTGTTTTCTTGTGCCAAGCTGCTCCGAAAGCATAAAAATGGCGAAAATTGCGCCAAACTGCTCCGAAAAAACTTCGAAAGCTAGACTTTTCATGCCAACCTCAGCTTTTGTGAGGAAAAAAAGGCTGAGTTAAGTAATAAGACACGCCCAATCGTGCTTTTTTTTTTCTGCACCTTTCTGGTGCTGAAGGCTCCCATTCATGGTGCTGCCATAATTTCCTCTAAACTGTTGTAAATATGCGTGACCCCGCAAAAATGAGCTGCCGTGCATCGAGCATACTGCTTCTACTAGCTAATCTGTGTGTTCTGGTGCCTCTGTCGAGTGGTGAGTGTAGCGGAGTGGACTCTCTGGTTTTTTGTTGGGCGTAGCGCGTTCTGCCGGTCGCTGAAGTTTTCATGTCGACGCTGCTGCGTGCGGTCACCTACGCGTGCACGTTTGCCGTGAGCTAGTAACTGTAAACGAGTCATATTCCTGTATGCGAAGCATGCAGGAAAATGGCATCTCTCATAGTCATTCAGTATGTCACTACAAAGTCAGTCACTACGGCATCTCTCATAGTCATGTGATGGTTTTGGGATGTTAAAAACCAGTAATAATAAAGCGTATGTCTACATAAGCCTGTCTTGTGCATTATCTTGCTTTTGAAATTTTATGTCAGTGCTCCTTTAACCTGTACTGCTATGGCCATGTTTTATTTATACTGTTTATGTGAATGTTTTCTTTTTGCAGGGTTTTTACAGGAGCTCTCTTTTCTGTAAAAATGCTGCAAAGTGTAAACAATGTTGAAAAAAAAAATGAAAATATATCAATGCAGTTTCAATAGATGCCGTAAAAGAATCGTGAGCGCATCAAAATTGTGGTCGTTATAACTGATACATAATAATAATAATAGTAATAGTAATAATAATAATAATAATGTCATAATACCTTTATATAGATAATAACGTTATTACTGGTACCTGAAATCGTTATTAGTGGGGTTCAATGGTACCACATGAAAGCTATTGTTAAACTTCAGTGGTAAATTTAATTATATAATTCATAAAAACTTTTAATAAATTGGCTTATAATGAAATTGTCGTACTACAAAATGTTTTAACCTCAATATATAAACAACCTTCAATTTAGTTAGGAAGAACGTTGAACTAAGGCACTCGAGAGCTGCTGCAAGTGCTCAATTTAAATTCATCAGTTAGACCACCCAAGTCTAATCCGGTCCATGCAGAAAACAAAAGAAGCAAATTCTATAGGATCAATTTGACCATCTTGCTTCATAACCAACAACACATTGGCAAACTCCCACCATGTGTGCAACATAGTTCCGAAGGTGATGGAATTGTGTTTACGCCATTTTGAATGCCGATCAACGCAAGCATGAAAATGTGGCATTCTGGTCGCAGGCACCCTTTGTTGATGCTGGTGAGAAAGTAGGAGGATTGAATCCCAGCCGCAGCAGCTGTATATTGATGGCGACAATGCTAGATACCTATGGGCTGGGCTTATGAGCACGTTAAAGGGGCCCTGTAACGTTTTTCAGCCTGCATCTTGTAGCGCTGGAGTCTGTGTAGTGCTGAAGATAAATGCGACAATATTTGTCGAAATAGGTTCACGGTAACAGAAATTACTAATCTTCAAGATTCTGAATCTCAGCAGATGATAAGAAGAAATCACAGCATATCCATGGAGGGAATGATGATGAGTGGGGCGAAGCGTCCGTCAGCCCGTCCATGCTTCCGTTTGTCGGTGCGACCGTCTGTGCTTCGTCCGTGAGTCCGTCCATCCGTCTGCCCGGCCGTCCGTCGCCCATCCAGGGAACACTCCAAGTACCGCCATTTCGCATCCCCTGTGGCACATAGCCGCTCTAGAGTGGGTATGTGCCACCGGTGGCTACTTATTACTACTACATGCTTCGGAGGATGTACAGAGCCATGCCTTAAGGAGCTTCGCCTTTAAAAAATGTTCCTTTTTGCATTTCACTTTCCCTCTGACGTCAAAGCGCAGTAACAATTGCAGCGTGCCTCTTACAAAGGCACACCAGAAGACATACCGAAGACCACCAATGTAGTCTAAGATGATTTTTTCTAGAGTTCATTTTTAAAAATAGAAATACTTTTGGACGAGAGAAAGTATCGGTTTTATAATTCTTGGGGCACAACTGTGTGTCCTAACCGGGTTCGTGTACATGTAATATGAGACTTGGTCGAGTCAAAGTAATTGAAACAGGCGGCTAATGTCATCACTCCCGCATAATAAAGCATCGACTTCCATTTGCAAAAGTAGCTGCTGTGTGCTGCTCTAGTCCAATGCTAATGTTGTTTCTGCATTGAAGTAACATTAACAGTTTAGTTTATCATGTTGCCACATGCACAGTAGCATCGATGCATTCCACAGTTCCAGAAGCGATGAAACGATAGACTTTATTTGTGTAGCAAGGCCCCTTCAAAGAGCCTCTGATGGTTGAAATTTCCAGAGCCCCACAGCTTCCCTCATAATTGCATTGTGGTTTTGGGACGAAAAATTCAAAGGCCACTGGTAGAAAATCTGGGCCTGCTGTGGAGACAGTTGTGCAGGGAAGAAACGTGGCCACTCTCACAGCGGCTTGTGCTGCCTCTCTTTCAGATTCTGAAGCCAGCCGACAAGAAGAAGTTTCCTTACGGTGGCATTGCAGCGGGAGGGGGGAAGCCAGCACCACCACAGAGGGGACAGGTGAGCGATCCTTTGGTTGCATCATCCGGTTATTGTAGCTATAAGCCTGCTGCACCATAACTTTATTGTACAGTCGATCCCGGATATATCGAACTCAAAGGGGATAGTGAAATAATTCAATATATCGATAATTCGAAAAACAAAATATGCATGTTAAAGGAGTAAATTAGAGCATCTCAGGCCTCGAAACAGGTATCAAAAATCATAAGAAATGCTGGCATAATGATTTGCTTACAGTATAATGAACAAGTTCTGAACATCTTCTTTTGCAAGTTACTGCACTTTATTTAGCTTGAAAAAAATACTCCGTAAACTTCTCTCGCTCCTTGTGGGCTGTCAAGTTCCAGTCATCCTTAATATTATTAAAGCTTTCCAAATAAGCAAATTCAGCTTCTTTGACCAAAACAGCATTGATTGACCCTGATCGTTAATGTAAGCTCTGTAGAGTGTTAAAAGGTTGGTTAGTGGCAGAAGCAACACACTTTCGTGGTACCGGCAACGTCGGCCATATCTTGGCATCAATGGAGTCAGAAACGGCAACGTTCTTCTTCGCCCAATGAAGCTGCTCGTAGTCCGAGAGAGTGCTCGGAAACACTGATAAGTCCCGTAATTCACTGAGGTACTGTACACTGTTGTCTGCAGTCATGGCGCACGTGAAGTAATCACCTGGCATCAAAGCCAGCAACGGAACAGTTTATACTTGACATTGCTCCTAGCACCAATTGTAGTTTTTATTGCTGTGAACAGATCAGTGCTCACTTCTGACTTCCAAACGATGATTAATCAGAAAACGGACGTGAAAGGCACATGTCCACAAGCCGAAAAAAAAATGCTGCCCACCAACAAACAAATGAGCAAGCTTCCACTGTCAACATGCTGTTGATCGCGATGTCGCTTGTGACTTTGTCGCTCTGTAGCAGGCAGCTATTGTGTTGGCACGAGAAACTAGAAAAAACTGTAGCCTCCGAGATCATCACCATCATCATCAGCCTGACTACGTCCACTGCAGGACAAAGGCCTCTCCCATGCGCCGCCAGTTAACCCGGTCCTGTGCTTGCTGCTGCCAATTTATACCCGCAAACTTCTTAATCTCATCTGCCCACCTAACCTTCTGTCTCCCCCTAACCCGCTTGCCTTCTCTGGGAATCCAGTTAGTTACCCTTAACGACCAGCGGTTATCCTGTCTACGCGCTACATGCCCGGCCCATGTCCATTTCTTCTTCTTGATTTCAGCTACGATATCCTTAACCCCCATTTGTTCCCTAATCCACTCTGCTCTCTTCTTGTCTCTTAAGGTTACACCTACCATTTTTCTTTCCATTGCTCGCTGTGTCGTCCTCAATTTAAGCTGAACCCTCTTTGTAAGTCTCCAGGTTTCTGCTTCGTAGCTAAGTACCGGCAAGATACAGCTGTTATATACCTTCCTCTTGAGGGATAGTGGCAATCTACCTGTCATAATTTGAGAGTGCTTGCCAAATGTGCTCCACCCCATTCTTATTCTTCTAGTTTATTTATTTATTTATTAGAATACCCTCAGGGCCCGTAGGGCATTTACTTCAATCTCGTGGTTCGGCTCTGCGGTTATTACCTGCCCTAAGTAGACATAGTCTTTTACAACTTGAAATGAACTATTACCTATCTCGAAGCACTGCTCTTTTCTGAGATATGCGTTTTAAAACCGAAAAGGACAAAGTATGTCACGAGGTTGCACATCTCGAAAGCCATGCTTTTCGCTCCCGTATGCCATCGTACACGAGGGAATGCGAACATGTCAACAAAATAGCCGAATCACTTTGTTTTGGTGCCCTCGACAATCAGTCTTTTTGAAAAACACCATGCTCATGCGTTATAACCTGCAGATCGTGCATCAAGCGTACTTGTGCGCTCGCAAAGCTGCGTAATAAACTAGGTAAGTGTGATTGAGTTTCGCCTTTTCTCTTTTCAACACCGCCTTGTCATCATCTGCTCGTGAACAGAGGTCATAACTTCTTAAAACGTGGCCAAAATATGATCACTACTTGTTCGGAAAAATGCAATGTGTGGGCTTAGGCCCAGCTCGGTGTTTGATATAGCAGCTGTTCCACTGTGCGGGAATTGGACATACGTGCGCACCAGTCCCATACTTTTGCATAGGAAATTCTAGGAGATTTCTCAATTCTTCAGTATAGCCAATAATTAGATGTAAAAGCGGTTCATACAAAGTTCATAGCCAGCTGCTTCGAATCGCAGAGTTTCCTAATTCAGGGCCACTTGTCAAGAGCAACGGGAAGCTGCCATACACTGGGCAAGTTGGACTGCAAGAGTTGGCATGTGCATCATGATACAGGGCATAAAAAATGTACGATGCTGGAAAACATACCACCTGAATTCAGTTGCAATCAAGGCTGACAAGCCCATGTTGAGGTAGAAGTGCAAAAAAACTTTTACTGTTGAACCCCTTTGTAAAAGACATTGATATAAAAGACAAATTGGTGTCAGGGACACCAGTGTGTGTACAGTAAAATATAGGCTGACAAGTAAATGGATACATGGTACCCTGCTTATAAGAGACAACGTATGTAAAAAACAAGAATTGCTGCCTGGAGCATGCCTCTTATCAAGTGGTTTGACTGTATATCTAAAAAAAGAAAACATTTAGGGACACTACTATTTTCAAATTTCTGGCATCTCGCTTGCAGTCACTGGTGAACCAGCTAGTTCTGGTCTTGACAACAAACAATGTTGTGATCACGTTTACTGGAATCTTAAGATGACAAAAATACTGCAAAATGGAACGCTGGGACGAGACCAGAGTAAACATAAAAAAAATGTTACCACTGTGGCAGCAACTGAAACTTTGCGTCCTGTGAGCGTCGGTAATTTCTCCATCTCTGCGTGGAAATATGGGGCTAGGTTTCCCGAAGTGCAGAAGTCATCTCAATCATAAGCATTTGGGATACGATCACATACGTTAGCAAGTTCTCATGCAACTAACCCCGTCTGTGAAAAAAAAAACTGTCATCCTGCCATCCAGTGCACGTAACAATCACTGTACAACACAGTATGGAAAGTCTCGCGAAAGTGATAAGCGTCCCCAAAAGTAATAGTGTGCGATAGCCCCGAGCAGCTAAGTCACACATGCACACTGATCGGTTTGCGTTTCGTTGTTCCTTGGGACATGTGCCAGTATGCTCACTGCCACCTGTAATGGTGAGCAGGGTTCGGCTTTAAAAGATAATGGCATGCGTAAGCAACTGAAGGTGAAGTCCCCAAGCGCCCGCATTTCATTTCGTCGAGTACTCATTAAGATGGCGGCAGGCCCACATTGACTCTCTTGAAGTCTGATAGCCAGAAACCTTCCAGATATCTTCCAGAACAAATTTGACCTGGCTGGAAGTACACTGTGTGATAGGCAGAGCAACCCAAAAATTATGAAGCTGGAAACAAGTGCACTGTGGCTGAAAAATGTGGAGTAAAGGATGTCTTGTCAGGCATATCCACTGGTCACATTGCGGAGGTGGTTGGGTTCAGTTCTTAATTGGAGTGTTAAGATTTATTCACTACTTTTTCAACAAAGTAAAGTGGCCATTAGTGGCCATTTCCAAACATAATTTAATCTACCTTCTTTAGAGAAGCACAAGGCCATGCTGTGGGTCTAGTTCAGGTGGTCTGTACCTGCTTTCTGGGTAAGGCTGAGTGTCATTGCCTGTATTCTTAGTTTTCGATTATACGGCACCTGGATTATATGACAACTTTGCGTGGTCCTCTGGAAGTCGTATAATCTGGTTCCACTGTATATGGTTCATCGACATCCTGGTTACTCGGTGCTTGCATGAGTCCTAATATATCGACCATATTAAATGCCTTGTCCTACTTTATAAAGGCTATACCTGGTGTCCCAGCTATTTATAGCGAATGGTTAAAAAATACAATATTAGAACTAGCCGAGTGAAATCGGTTGTGTATTTCAGACAGCAACCTTGCGGCCTTGGACAATTTTGTTATTAATTTATTAATGATGATTACTTAACTAATTTGATTAATATTAACTTTAGATGAAGAAACGCGATTCGCAAAGTTCTAGTGTCTTCAGAAACACCCATTGCATTATTGGCCATAAAGAAAGTCTCACGTACAGCATTTTTTCCAAGCTGCAAAGAAAGTCACCTAGATACAAAAAGAACCACGTGACTAGCACATTTGCACGCCGGGAACATGCTGCTCGCGGCCAGGGTGCGAGCGAGTGAAATCAGCTGCAGCCGCGGCTGTCCAGATCCTTTGCAGCAGTATGCCGTTAAGTTGACGGTGGTTTCCTGGCCCGCACTCGCAACAAGTCCCACCGTCATGCGCCAGCTGGCTGGCAACGGGCCAAGAAACCACCACCAACTTATTGGCCTACGGGTACAGTGAATCCGGCTAGTCTTGGCCTCAGTTGATTTCATTTGCTCATACCACGGCTGAGAGCAGTACTTTCGCAGCGTGAGAATGTGCTAATCACGGGGCTTTTTTTGTATTTGCGGGCTTTCTTTGTAGTTTGTGAGAAATGGTATACCTGAGACTTACTTTATGGCAAGTATAATACAGTGGGGGTTTCTGAAGTCGATATTTAGCAAATAAATAAGTAATCGTAATTAATTATAATAATAAGTAATATTATAAACTAAGTAATCGTAATTAACAAGGCTAAGAATTGTCTGTAGTGTGTAAGATGACTGTCAGCAATATGCAACTGATTTCACTAGGCTACCTCTAATAATGTATTTTTTAATCATTGGCTAAAGACAGCTGGGAAGCCCAGTGTAACGAGGTTGGTTACATCTGCCCATTACTCTACTGCTTCATTGATATTGCCGATTCGATCAGCTCGTGCCAGTCTATCCTGTGCCATGCTCCTTCTCGTGTGTTTGGCTGTGATGCTACTGGTACGTAGCAATACTGTAAATCTGTTCCATTGCCTAGTAGCCTGTATGGAATTTCGGTTGATCCGTTGGATCATGAAATTATAAGGTAGTCTTAATTCTGTTAGCAAGTACCTTTGTAAATGGCTTGTAGAGAACAGACAGTAAGCAGACGGGCCTATAAATTTTCCAAGTCTTTGTTGTCCTCCTCCTTATTTATTAAGATGATGTTAGCATCCTTCCAAGATTCGGGTAGCCAGTTTTTGTAATGCAGTCTGTCCTCGATCTTTGCGCAGATTCAACGTTCCCTGATCCTCACCAGCAGATTTAGTTTGAACCCCTCCCAAACTATGCTGTGTATCCATCAGATTGTATACATTAGGCGAGATTGATGGCCATTTGATGGTACTGGTATGCAGGCAATCGGCCAGCACCTACGGCAAACACTCTCTGTAATGTTTACTTGGCGAAGGTGGCATAATGTTTTGTCTGTGTGTACACCTAGCAGTATACCAGCAAACTCATCTTGCATATAATTCTGCAGAGCGTGGGACGAGTGTTCAGTGTTAGTCAGCACTCGTCTTATGTCATTTTCAGGTTTAAGCATTGAACACACACAAGCAGGCGCCCCCTCAGTGTCATTTTTCTAAGTGCACCATCGTATAGCGCTCATTTATTGGCTTTCTGTTCTTTGATGCAGTGAATGGGTGCTCCAGATGGTGGACGAAAAAGAAAGCCCGGCAACCATGCCTTTGCGGGCGAAGGGAGGCTGCACCAGGCTTTTTTTTTCTCTCTGACAACGAGACAAACGAGTGACACCATTGGAGGAAGGTGAGGGAAAGAATGGCTACAGTGGATGCAACTCAATGACCAGCATATGACCGCAAGATTTGTGAGTGTAAAATGTCACCAGACGGAACAACTGCTAACCCTCCTTGCTTGCGGGACACCTATTGCCTGGGAAATGCCAACCCACACCTTCCTTATGTAGGCAGCTCTTGTGACGAAAGGACTTGTGATCATGGGGACAAGGGGACTGGTCTTATATAGCGTTTTTTTTTTTTTTTTGACTTCCTGTCCCCTCAGTGTTTTTCACTAGTTTTGTCAACTTAGTAATGGGAATTGCTCAGGCAGGTTGACAGCTTGAATGTTGCACGTATTCAGGAACACCCCGGTACTTGTTGATTTCTTTTTGTTCACCTTCAAAAACAGCTCTGCTCTCTCTCCTTCCCCACAGTGCCTTCTTGCTAGGAATTCTTTTTTTTTTTTTCCGCTCTCTCTCTCTTTACGCGAGTCTTCCTTCCTCTCTTGGCCATTTGTTTCTGCTACAGCACTGCCCGAGCCTTATTACTACTCTTCCTGTGCATGCACTGCTTTTCAGCCCCAGGAAAAAAATTTTTTTAAGTGTACCACGAGAGTGGGTGCGCATAGACTTTTGGTGCACTATTTCTGACGAGCACCACTTCGATCATGGCTCCCCACCGTCCCCGTCCCCCCCTTTGCCACCCTCATTTCCTACTTCCAACATTAGCTGTTTTCCTTTTCATTGCTTTTTTTCCCCTATTTCCTGTTATCTTACTTCTTTTTTTTTCTTCTGTTATATACACCTCGCACTGCTGCCCTTAAGAATAAAGAGTGGGGTCATTCACCAGGCAGCTTACTCCAAAAGAATAAAATGTGATCGTGTTGGCAATTGTCTCGAAAGCCTGAGACGATAGCTCAGAGAGGTAGAAAAGTGATTCGTTTCTCGTCACAGTGGTCACAACTGGTAATCCAGCCTTGTGGTTGGCAAGATTCAGGGCTTCTTCGCACTTGCTCTGAAAGGAGATGTACTAGCAGCACGACCATCTGCGACCACCTGCTGCAGGCAATGAAATAAGTGTCTGTGTATGCGTACATTTTTCTCCTCTGCCTCTGACGCTGTACATGGTCTCCTACAAAAGTGACCATTTACAGTCAGTCGTGCAACCTCTACCAGTAGTAGCTGGGATTACTTGGCCCTTGCACATATTGGCCATTCGAATGTTTGAGTGCGATCAGTTGGCACATTTGTTTGCCTGTCTGAATGGAATTGCCACTTGCAAGGCTATGGAAGTGTCCTGAGTTTTGCTGTTGCTGCTTTTTACATATTTAAATGATTTTGCACTAGCATTTTATGCAGAGCAGTGTACTTTATTCTACAATTTTCTATACTGTGTGTCAGTTTTGTTTCTTTTCTTTTCTTGTTAGTTCTTATTTCTGATGAGATTTTACAAGTTTTATACTGTACTAAGCAAACTTGCTTCAAACCTCGGGATTCTGAGAAATGGAACATTCAAAGCCACATTTAGATTTGCCCTGTTCATTTGCTGTTTTTTCATTTCTGTGCTTTTATTTGTTCCTGCTCATTTTTATGTTTGATGAAATAACTGGAACTGATACACCCATAACTGACACTTTAATACAAAACTGTGATGGTAATCTGGTCTGCTAGTGATATAAAGATGGCTTGGGTAGGGAGTCCTTCGGCCTAAATTTTGCTGTTTAAATGAAAGTGGATGCAGAGGAAAATTGCTGAAGTTTGCAATGCTGTAAATGGAACAAGAAAATTGCAGCAGATCTAGCTGTTAATCTTCGCAGTGCAACGCTACGTTTCGCTTTTGTCTTTTATTTAATGCTCTGATTTACATGATGAGAACGATCTTTGTGAGCCTCTCATCTATGATGTTGGCAATCTTTTACAACTGAACTTTTGTCAGGCTTTGCTTATAACTAGATTATAATGGTAACCAGAAACCAGAAGAAAGCACAGACTGGATGTTGCATTAATAGTAACTGTCGAGGGTTTAGTGTCTCAAAACCATGATATGAGGAATGCCGTATTGAAGAGCTCTGGAAATTTCGACCATGTTTTTACCGTCAGTGAAAATGCAGCCAGGGTTTGATCCAGCGACCTTAGGGTCAGCAGTCGAGTGCCATTGCCTTTTTTAACCAACTGTGGCAGGTCAGATTGTATTGACGTAAAGCCGTATGTGCTCTTTTGCGGGTCAGTCGGCAAGGGGCAGGTGCGAGGTTGGATCGAAGCAGGCAGTCGCACCTTTATGGTCGCTGCGGTGTTGCTGCATTATAGTTGCTGCTACTGGCAGTTACTGACACAGTAAGTTGAAGTGCATGACGTACATGGAAAGTAAAATCCAGGTTCTTTGCGATGTTGAAGAAACCAACTCTCACCACTCGGAGCCCGAGACGCACCACCCGAGGTGGTATAGTAAAGTGGGAGACGAAAACGTGCTGCCGCTATTCCAATAGCGGCAATTAATTGCTGGTTGCTTGAAGATGAAGCGGAAACGCTGAAGAAGTTCTAGTAGGCTGTGAAAAACTTGTATTTACAGACTGTACCATTTTTACAAAGTTACGAACATCATAGTTACAACAACAACAAAAAAAACACTTTGGAAATGAACCGACTTCTGTAGGGCGACCCTAGGGGATTCGGCCGAGCCGACGGTGCCTAACACCTCAAGCCCTGTTCAGAACACTTTGCGGAACTTCAGTGCCTCTTTTTATCCCCTCGGTGCTCCGCCCTTACGCCACTCTCGGCGAATCGTCGCCTTCTTGTCCACTGATAGGACAGTACACTTGGTTGACCAAAACCCGTCACCAGGACGCCACTTTCGTGCACGTGGGGGCTCATGCCCTCTCCTCAAATAATGCATCAACTAAAATGTAAATAAAAAAACTATAAAATGTCATAAAAGCATAGGCAAGCTTCTTGGCGCACAGTTGTCGTCTAGACTTAGAGCTACTGGGTCTTTGCAGCCATAGAACTGCTTCCCTGTAACACGTTAACTTGTTGACGGCAGGGCAATAATTTGCCTGTCCCCTGTGCACTGTAAGAGGAACCACTAGCTCATCCCACGTAGTTCTACTTACGAGCTCATTTGCCAGGATAAACGTGGAAGCAGTCAAAGACGTGCCGATTGAACTATAGGCTCCCCAGGCGCTGATCTGTCGCGGGCCCGCTCGCTTCCGAGATCTACTTCACCGGACCAGAACGAAAGGTTTGCGGCAATCGCGGCAGTTTCGCAATGCGCGCCACTGATTTTGCAGGCTCGAACAGTACACGGCCGTGCCATAAGCCGAACCGATGTGAGGAGTCGCCGCGGTGTGCTGGGTCTCGGAAGAGGCCCATCGATGCGTCGGCTGCCAATGCCAGGATGCAATAGGGGGCCTATTGCATCCTGGCACAGGCAGCCGACGCATCGATGGGCCGTCACAATGACGTTTATAATGCCACCCCTTTTGTTGCTCACGTGGGAAAAGGTTTGTTTTTCCCGAGTTAACAGGAACTCGAAACGCTGGGCTGTCTCAGGCGCTGCAGAACTACGCGGGGTACCATGCTGGTGCCGTACTGTCTGCATTCTCAGCAAATCCGGTCGGATACGCTTCGACCGAGTGCAACCAAAGCAATGCTGCCTGCCAACGGCTGACATGCCTACCCAAATTTACGACGCAAAGTAAATGAAAGTGAACTAACTGCCGCGCAACCAATTTTTACCGCGGTCGTACATGCAATGTGAGGTTAAGGTATCTTGTATCACGAATGTAGCACGTGCTAAGCAAAACCAAAAGGCTCAACCTGGCCAACAACCAAGCGAATTACATCTGTAACTGTGCTCTGTCGCAAAAGCATGGAACTTGCTTACATCTTGTAGCTTTGGCAGGGCTGTAAATGAAGATGGAGGACGGATATACTGTGTTGGATCTGCTGCAATATCTATTCGGTAAGCGAAACCCAATTCATAAGGCAGGGCATTGAAAGGCCTTTCCTTTAAGCAGGGTTTTGCCATTAATGCTTAATAAATGTTGCTTGTGACCGTAAACATTTAGCACATGATCTCGTAGATGAGGCATTGCTCTGAGCTAACTGCCTGTGGTGCATTGTTTGTTCACTACCAGGTGCACGTGTTCAAGGCCTATTGAAAGGCCACTTGTAAATTATCAGCCTCGCCAGCTCTGCACCTTTGGCACAATTGCTTCAGTGGTACAGACTACTTATTTTTAACCCATCGAGGCATTTTCTTGCATTTGGCTTTTAGAAAGGGTAACCATTGATAGGATGAGCTTTTTTTTTCTTCTGATTTTCTCTACATTTCTCTTCTTACACAGCTTAACTCAAAGTGCAGAAGAAACTTCATTCGGACAGCACTCAGAATGCCTATTTTTGAAATGTTTTCATTGCTTGAATGGTCTGGTAAAAGCAGCCTGAGTAAGCTTTATGTGCAGCTGTCTGTACTAGTGCCAAAAAAGAAAAAATGTAAATGGACACCAGTGGGAAAAGTTTAAAGGGACCGACGACTGCCCAGAACATGCTATGAGCGACTCCACTGACGGAAAGATGGTCCATCACATTGACTGAAACCAACCACATTTTTTTCATGAGGGGTGCATTCATGTTTTTATTCTTTCATTGGAAGTTGGAAAAGATTACTTAAGAGCAAAAACATGAACACTCAGTTGTACCCGGTCATGTGAACCTTGTCACATGACCGGGTACAGCCAGTGCAGCCAGTGCTGCACTTTTTGTCAAGACCTTTCTCTTTTGTTGTGTCAAGTCCTTTCTCTTTTGTTTGAACATCTAAGTATTCACATGTGTGCTAAGCTTAACACGTCACATTCTTGAGTGTACCACTAGTGCAAAGAAAAAGATACATAATTTTACAGCCCTCATACTTACTTGGAGCATCTTCTAACGCAACTGCCTGGACATCTAGTAATTGTGTTCTTGTTAGTACGGGTGTCTTTTTAGTTTTGTATTTATCATTGTGGTGCAACTGATCGCTGATGTTTCAGCTGAAAGTATTAGGTCGTTGCCACTTGCCTATGCGTATTTTGCTTTTTTTCTACTCTTGTCTCACATGCAAAGTGTAGAAATATTTTAAGTTCATAGGAATAGATCTGTAAATACCTTGTTTTTAAGGTTAGCTTATACATGGATCAAGGTGGAGAATGGGAACTTTTTCATAGTTTTTATTAGCACTCATAGTTTATCTTTAGCACACGTCCTTGTATTTTCGTTTCTTTGTTCCATGTTTGCACTGTCAATCTATTCTTTATTTGTCTTTGATAAGCCTTGTGTAATAGTGAATAATAGAGTTGCTCAATGCAAAGAGAATGGCTGTCATATTTGATTGACAAACTTACTATAAGTGTTAGAGGAATGGTCTTCTTGAAGCCTGTTGTTTCCATTCAGAACTGGAACGGCAGCAACCATACTAGGGGGCAAGCTGTGCAAGCTTTACAAGTGGGAGTTTTTGTGGTAATTCGTTAGACGGCCTTAGAAGCCGAAGTTCATGTTCTTGGCTTCCGTTCCCATGATATTTGCTCCCTGGCGTGACCCATCAATCGGCCAAGGCAACATGGGCAAAGGTGCTGGTTTTATTGGTGTTGCTAGCAACGTTTAAGCAACATGCTCACCGCTCAGTGCCGCAGCTCAACTCTACTGCAATATCCAGTTGCTACAATTGACTAAAATCTACTGCAAACCTGGCAAGAATGCATTTCTCCATCTCTCTCTCTTGGCAAGCAATATCTACACATTAAATCTCTCTAATGTACAGTGTCTGTAGTTCAATGGTGCAGTCTTCATGCTATAGTAAGCACTGCCCGAGAACGAGCCTACCATTGAAGCTGAACCACCCACGGCGCATGGCTTGTGCAGGTGTGAGAAATTATCATTTGTGGTTCTGCCTTCGTGCAGTAAAGGTTGCTATGTGCTGTCGTTTCCTTCGCGTTTTCTTCAAGAACTCCAGCTGGCCCCCAAGCCTAACAGCACTTAATGAAGCCAGCACGGCCACCTGTGGTGCTTTGTCCGGTTACTGTAGGAGGGTAATGCTTCATGCAGGGTCACATGCCAGCCGACTTGTAGCGGGTGCTGATTTGGCACCGTTGATTGAGGCATCAAGCAATAGTGGACTTGCGTACGCGGATGTCTCCACTGTTGCGGTCGACCCACTGCAGCTTGTTTATAGCAGCGGTAGTCCTGTAGGCTAATGTAAATAAGCTACGTAGGTGTTAGGAGCTGAGGTTGATGTGCTTCCGCAAATGCAAGGCGACGTGGCAGCTGACTTTGCGCCAAGAGCTGCCACTACCAGCTCTGTGTCTTTCAAGTGTTTCTCATTCCTGTCTGCTAAGTTAGTTTTCTCATTTCAGACCACCCCACGAGCCTAAAAGGCATCTGTACGCCTCTTTTTTTAGACAAGGATGCGATTGGCCTATTGGCAGCACTAACTTCTAGGCTAAGTGGAGAAACTAAAACCCAGTAGGCTTGAATTGTGGGGTCATTTTGAGGTGAAGGATGATCAAAAAGTAGCAAAGTAAGTGGAAACTGCACAATTACTGAGAGATATGTTGCCATAGGGTTATAGAAATGCACATTTAGTATTTCTTGAACACGTAGCAAAAAATTGTGTGAAGTCACAAGAGTTGAGATGGGGGGGCCACTGCACGACTGAAATGTTGCCTGGTGGTGGCAGCAAGTTTTTATTTGCGAAAATCTCCTGTCACTTTGTGCATTTCTTCAGAAACTGCACCGTGCTTTTCAAACTGAGTTTCACTCTTTCCCGTACTTTTGGTTCTTGGTATTCAGCCTTTGGCATAACTCACTCTCGGAAGAGATGCTTGTACTCCTATTCGATAAATTCGGCTTGACTTTGGCCGCAGCACAACTGCAAAATATTTGCACTGCATCATTTCTCAGTATGAACTCTGGAATGTCATTTCTATCAAGGGAGTACTTTCATAGCATATGTGGTTGCAGTGACTGTATTGTGAGTGCAGTCTTTCAACTGCGGTCTGTTGACAAAGTGTTTGTTTTATTTGTTGCATTCCTTTTTTATATTTGCACTGGCGTTCTTTTCCCCTTCATCTCTTCTCAGTTGCCATAAGCCATAAATTTTTCTCTTTCTATTTTACTGTTATGTTTTTCACTTTGTATTAGGGAGAATTATTATCCCTTTGAAAGGGTGCCTTGCAGTGCTTTTTGAATGTAGTTTAATGGTTCTGGTTTGAAACAAGCCAAGTCGTGTACTCACAGAAAGGTCCCTGCAGCACAAGTAATCCGTGACTCTCCAGATCAGATAAATCGCCACCATTTGTTATGTACGTCTTCTTAAGCATCACCGCTGCTAAAACTAAACACAAGAAACTCTTGCCAGGGAATGTAGTGGCTGTGAGCTACAGCGCTTCTTTGACAGTGTTCTAACCACAGCCCAATTCAGTGATAGGCACAGCATAGCAAGCTGTGCCACCATGGCATTAGGCTTCACTAAGAGCTGTTTATCAGAAGAATGCAGCTTTCGGTGTAGCAGAAACGATAAAAAAGTAAAAACGACTAAAAAGCATTGTTAGTGTAATCTGTTCACGTATAGCTTGGTTGATGCTGTCTGCAGACAATCCAGAAAGGCCTTGGCCAGACTGAAACATCGCCTACTCTCGTCCCGCTCATACCCTTGGCAATGCTTTCTGTAGGCCAAGTCGCTTTTGCTTACAAAAAGCATTGTAGGGTCTATTAACGTGCTGACTTCACTCTAAACTGGGTTTAGAAAGGATAGGAATTCAAAAAAAAAAACTTTCCGGTCGATGTTTTTGTCCAGAGACCCAGCCTACTCTTAGTTGCTCTTGGTGCAGCACCTACTTTGAACCCCAATGTGTGACACGAACTTCTGTCAAAGCTATGTGGCAGAAACTTCACTAGGCTGTGGAAATCTCTCAACCTTGCCCCTTTCCTTTTTTTTTGTTTGTCAACCAGAATAAGTGAGGCTTGTGCTGATCATCACAGCATTTCATATGACTGTCAGGTATTGGTATAGTTTTTTGCTTGGTGCACTGTATCTCATGTGCTATTTTTTGTTGGGTACTTTGAAGCCGTCTCCATTTACTCTAGATGCAAGCGATAATTCTACCATGCATCACTGATAGTGGTGTCTCGTGTCATCCTCTGCAGTAGTTTTGGCAGGCTGAGATGAACGATGTCTGTGTGCCAACTATGTGGGGGCTGTTTGGCAATGGTTCCGACAGACTGAGCTGTCGTTTGTCGAGTGAGGAACAAAGGAAAAAAATCTATGCAATGTGTGTATGTCCTGGCAAAATGACTATTTTTCTCTTCACTTTTCATTTTTTAGTCAATGTCTACACAAGGAACAATATGACTGTTTCTGCTTCCCTTACACGGCACAACACAAGCAGCTGATTTTTACTTTGAATGTGGTGGAACCTACAAGGGTTCATTGTATCATATTTCATCCTCTCTCTCATCAGCAACCAATCTGTTCATGTTTCATTGCTCTATACATAAATTCTTTGAATGGGCAGACATACTAATGCCAGAGCTCAGAAACATTCATTAACAAACTTACACGAGCACCACCACAAAGAAGTGAGAGGGGGGGGGGGGGGGCGCTGTTGTTTTCTGTTGACTTCTCTTAGCGTATAATAATCTCCGACTCGCGTGGTGCATGACGTTAGGACGTTATGTCAGGATCGACATCTCACTGCAGCAACGGGCAATGCTTAATGCAATAGGAAGCTATATGATGCAGAAAACTTCTCAAAATTGAAATGCGCCTGCTCGGCGTGCCAATAAAGTTGCATCCTCCTAAGTAATCTGTTTAAAATGTGACTCAGTCTGTAATATAGACTGGCTTGGGCTTAGTGTGAATTGATAGGGGGATCCCTATATTAAATCTAATTTTGAGAGGAAGGTGTGATATTAGGACTACTAAGGTGTGCAGCTCAGGAAGGGAGCTGCCATTCCATGCAAACGGTTCCAATGAAATGCCCCCCCCCCCCCCCATTCCTCTTTTTTTTTTTTTCAGGGGCAGCTCTTATGACATAAGAAGCTAAGAAGAAAAATTAGCTTAATTGTAAAGCTGCAGCAATATACAAAAATATTTTGACATGCTCCATGTAGTAGTACATTTTATGTCACATCAGTTGCTTACTTCGGTAGTTGAAAATTGAGGGATTGTGTGAACTTCGTCTAGCTTTCACAACTTCGCACATCAAATGTGAGAATGTTAACATGGCTGAGTCAAATGCAGGGAACAGGGGCGGTTTGTGTCATCTCTGACTTTTCTCATGTTTACTTTTGCCGATGCTCATTTGTGCCATGGCGCGATGCGACAGACGAGCAAAGGCTTATTGATTCTTGGGTGCCATTTGGTTGTGCCGATTTTGCAGTCCTATCTAGATTGTTTGTAAACTAGCTGAAAACAAGCTCTCTTTGTTCTTGCTAGTTCCTAAGGTGCTGTCACTATATTAATTCAGTTGGCTAGGAAATGTGTTGCCATTGGCTGTGTTGCATTTGCATTACCATGATGATGACTGTTAGAGTGTCTGTGTGCTTATCACCTGCCAACAATAGCCACTGCTGTATACCTCTGGTACTCAAAAATGCTTTTGTCTGGCGGGGAAGTGGCACACCGCAGCAGTGTGTGTCTATGTTACATTGCTGCTCCAAGAATTATTGAAAGTCAGGAACTTGGGGAGAGTTTGTAAAGGCTGACAACACTTATCAGGAATGTATAGTGTAAACAGGACACACACTCGCAGTCTGTCTCTTGTGCCTCTTTTATTTATCCTGCTGCAGGGAAAGAATTAGCATGCAAGTCATTGCTTTACTTTTTAGTCTCAAGGAAGCACAAATCGCACATTGTTTTACGCAACTTTTCTCAGTATCTAGAAAGTGATAGTAAGTATGCAGTTAACATGTATGCCAAATATGTGGTGGTTCAACCCCTTGTAAATTGTCGGTCCTCGAATATTTGAAGCGGGAAGAAATTCTATTCAATGAAAGTTAGCAGCGCTTATGAATGTTGGGCTCATTGTGTCCAGCTTTTGTCTGTAAAATGGGAGCAAAGTTAACGTTGTATTGCCTGACTAGCGTTCACTTGTGTACCTGTTTTCCGCTTCCCTGTGAAGCTTTTCTTACACGCAGAGTACGGCAAAAAGTGTACAGCATGGTAGTCCCAGGAGACATTTCATGCTCATTGTTTTAATTTTTTACCCCTCATACTCACTGGGTGTAAAGTAGTGTTAAATAGATTGTGGCAATTCGGTTGCTCTTTAAGGTGGATTTTTCCTAGGATGAGAGGAACTGACTTCGTTTCATGGTG